GGATTGCAAAGAGCAGAGCTCCAATACCGTCCTTTCTCTACTCTCAGCACTTCAAAAAAGAATCTTCATGCTCAGGGAAACTTGGAGAGATGATATAAATATAGATAGATATATAGATACAGATATAGATACAGATATAGATAGATTATATAGATATAGATAGATATAGATATAGATATAGATTATATTGATACAGATATAGATAGATAGATATAGATATAGATATATAGATTATATAGATTATATAGATTATATAAATATATATATAGAATATATTGATATAGATGAGGATATAGATATAGATAGATATAGATGAGGATAGATAGAGATAGAGATAGAGATAGAGACAGAGATAGAGATAGATATATAGATACAGATATAGATATAAATAGATATATAGATATATATATATAGATTATATAGATTATATAAATATAGATACAGATTACATAGATACAGATATAGATAGATAGATATAGATATAGATATAGATATAGATATAGATATAGATATAGATATAGATAGATTAGATAGATATAGATATAGATTTTATTGATATAGATTGTATCGATTATATAGATATATTTAGATATATAGATATGGATATAAATAGATGTATAGATAGATATAGATATAGATATAGATATAGATATAGATATAGATATAGATATAGATATAGATATAGATATAGATATATATCCCACAGCATTTCAGTGTTTCTGAGCATGGCACATCTGCAGTGTGCTCTGTGGGGGCATGTCACTGCCAAAGCTTCCTGCCCTCCCTCTCAGTGCCCAGCCAATGTCACCCTGTTCTTCTACGTTCTTCTAAGCCTTCTCATGTTTCTATTTTTGTCATGGAGTTCTCACACAATTTTATGGAAATAATAATTGTTTTTGCATTCTTTTCTGGAGGAGAAGAAATTTGATGGACTGTTGGTTTGACCAGGGTCATTGGAGAGGTGGCAATTTTCATCATGATATTTTATGAAAAATCCCTTCACCAGGATTTTTTTCTCCTGGGAAGCTTCAGCTTCTCCCTGTTTTGCTACTTTGGAATGTGATTTGGAGAATTGTTTATCCCAGAGTGTGAATTGTTTTTACTTAATGACCAATCCCAGTCCAGCTGTGTCAGACTCTCTGGTCAGTCACAGGTTTTTATTATTCATTCTTTTCTAGACTTTTGTCTGTATCCTTTCTCTATAGTTTAGTATAGTTATGATATGATATAATGTAATGTAATGTAATATAATATAATGTAATGTAATATAATATAATATAATGTAATAATAATAATATATCAGCCTTCTGAGAACGTGGAGTCAGATTCTCCTCTCTCACCTCATCCTGGGGACCCCAACAACAAAACAGGCAATTTCATCCTCCAATCCAAGGTCACTTTTGGAATTCTATACATATCAAGGTTGAGAAATAAACTTCCCTTCTTTTTTACCTTGGAGGTGTGTATGTCATTTTTATTTCGTGTCCTATTGCAACAAGCCCCTGCTCCTGCTGCAGTGAGATGTGTTTCCCCACCATCCATCAGCCCACAGAGAGCTCTTATGGCTTTATTGCAGCCTCTCTGGGAGCACTGATTGCACTGTGCTTAATGGCTCTGCACAGATCCAGCTCCAGATGAGTTGCTCTGAGAGCCTGCAGGGAGGTGAGCCAAGGGCATGGGTGATGTATCTGGGACTCCTGCCTGCCTGGGGAGGGCTGCAGAGCTCTGCATGCAGAGGAGGAGGGGATGTGAGACCCTGGGCATGGTCACTGTGAGACACAGACAGCCCTGCTGCTCTGGGTGAGACTGTTGTATTTGTGGGATGCCCCGACGAAGGCAGGAATGATGAATCTGACTCCATGTTCTCAAAAGCTAATTTATTATTTTATGATACTATGTTATATTAAAGAATACTGTACTAAAACTATATTAAAGAATACAGAAAGGATACTTACAGAAGGCTAAAAAGATAATAATGAAAACTGGTGACTCTCTCCAGAGTCCCCACACAGCTTGGCCCTGATTGGCCAAAGAGTGAAAACAACTCCCAGCAGAATGCAATGGAACAATCACCTGTGGGTAAACAATCTCCAAACACATTCCACATGTGAGCACAACACAGGAGAAGCAAATGAGATAAGAATTGTTTTCCTTTTCTCTGAGGCTTCTCAGCTTCCCAGGAGAAAATCCTGGGTGAAGGGATTTTTCCAGAAAATATGAATGTGACAAGACTCTTCTGAGTCTTGTGGGCTGCATTAAGGTCAGAAACAACTCTGCAAGGAAAGACATCTTACTAATTTGAGTGATACTTCAATGCTCTAAGATAGTGTTGAGCAAATTGTGCTGCTTCCACTTGAACTGGAAAGGCCTTGGTCCATGTCCAGGCAGCTTTCACTGCTCTGATTACTCATTGCAATTTAAAAGGCTTCTTGCATCCAATCAAGGTGCGTTGTGTCTGCTGCCCAAGAGGCAGCAATCCTTTCAAAATGTGTACAGGTGTCCTGGATGGCAGGGATAAGCATTAGGGTGTGTGCACTGCAAACCACGCCAGCAGGCACTGCAAGAGAATGAGAAGAAAACATTCACACTAAGCTGCAGCCAGGAAAAACAAGGTGCAGGGCTCAGGAGCAGATCCAAACCACAGCATCCAGGGCAGTGTGATTCATTACCTCTCCTGTGTGTGCCTTGGCACGGAGAGAGGCAGCAGCTCCTGCTGCAGCCCGAGTGCCCTCTGCTGTCACTCCCAGCTTGAGGAGCGATCTGCAGAAGCAAACTCCACAACTTCTGTGAAAGTTGTAAAGCGTGTGTTTATTACAGTGAGAATTTAAAGGATCGTTTCTCTTAAATGGCATGCTTGCCTCTGGGAACTCCAGATCCTTTTTTATCTCCCTCTCTAATCCATATGCATGCAATTTCGCAATAGGTTCATACATATTCATTTTACTGATTTTGCCTGACTTTTTTTTTTTTATCAGAAAGAACTCCAGGGTCATCCTGCCCTGTCTCCTGCAGCCTCTCTGTGTCTGTTTCAGAGTTCAAGGGGCCCTCCCTTGTCACTATAGGACATGAAATAACACAATGCTGCTCTTTTCACAGCAAAAAAGGACTTTTTAATTTCTGACTCCAACATTTATAGATTTCCAAAAGTGACAGTGGATTGGAGGGTGACAGTGCTACCTCTCCCAATGACACTGGACAAAACAACAGTCCATCAAATTTCTCCTCCTCCAGAAAAGAATGCAAAACAAGAAGTTATTTACATAAAATGTGTGAGAAAGTTTGTTACAAGAATGTAAACATCAGAAAACTTAGAAAATCTTAAAAAATCAGGGTGACACTCCCTTATCTCTGTCCTTTGGCTGAAGCAGTTTCTTCCAGCATAGGTTTTTTGCAAGAACAGACAGTCACACCAAACAGCTGTTTGCAAGCTACAGACTTAATTCAAAGATGTACATTTCACCTAAATCAAAATGGATTTCTGGTCTGGAAAATTTTTACTCTGTCTAGGAGAGTGACACAGCCCCCAGCTGTGCCTGCCTGGCTGTGTGTGGCTTCTCTGTACCTGTGACATCTCTTCCTCAGGGGTCAGTCTTGACCATGAGCATGTTGCTGTGGTTGTCTGTGAGCCTTTGCTTCACACACAGGCTGCTGTGTGAGGAGCTCAGCTCTCTGAGCAATCCAAAAAAAAACAGGTTCTGTGAGACCTCCCAGCTGAACTCACTGTAGCTGTTCTCTCTGCAATGCCAAAGTGTGTCCCCAGTGTGGCATTCACATTCTCTGAAATAATCCCTTCACCCAGGATTTTTCTCCTGGGAAGCTGAGAAGCCTCAGAGAAAAGGGAAACAATTCTGATCTCATTTGCTTCTCCTGTGTTGTGCTCACATGTGGAATGTGGTTGGAGATTGTTCACCCACAGGTGATTGTTGCATTGCATTCTGCTGTGAGTTGTTTTCACTCTTTGGCCAATCAGGGCCAAGCTGTGTTGGGACTCTGGAAAGAGTCACCAGTTTTCATTATTGTCTTTTTAGCATTCTGTAAATATTCTTTCTGTATTCTGTAAAAGCTGCACCAAAGGCTAAGGGTGGGTAAAGCAGCACTGCATGACAGTGTGTGCAGGGGTAAGGGAAGGGAAACAATTCCATTCTGAACTGATTCTGGTGCCTCCTGGGTCAGAACTAATGCTGAACTCACAGCAGAGCCAGTGACAAAGGACCTGGAAGGTTTGCAGCAGGGCTGGGCTCTGTAGAAGCCTTCCTGTACCTTCTCTGTGCCTTGAATGAATTCTCACCATGTTTGAATGCACTTCTGCTTGCTATTACACTGCACTTTAAGTGCTTCCCATGGGTGCAGGGTGCTGGGGATCAGAGCATGTTCCTCTTCCATGGAATAACAGCACAGTGACTCCTGCTTTTGGAGAGAACTGGCTGACATGCTCCACATAACAGAAAACAGATGCTTGAGCACAGGCGACAAATACCCAGTACAAAAGAGGAAATCCACACACAATTGTGTCACTTTATTACGTTTGCCTGGCCTGTGGTGTGTGTGTGGCACCCAGGTGCAGCTGTGCAGAAAGCCTGAGGGAGCAGCATGCACTGTGCCCAGGTGGAAGCTCCTTCCTGCCTTTGGCTGCAGGCAGCAGCAGTCACTACATGTGGAAAGGGGCACTTAAATGGCAGCCCAGGGAGGGAAGGCAGACACATGGACACAAAAATATACTTTCTTTAGGCAACACCAGCTCTGTTAGGGGATGCTCTTCTGAGTGGAATTACTAGGAGTGTTGCCCTGTTCTTCTAAGCCTTCTGATGTTTGCATTCTTGTAATGAACTTTCTCATGCGCTTTTCTGTAAATAATTATTGGTTTGCATTCTTTTCTGGAGGAGGAGAAATTTGATGGGCTGTTGGTTTGCCCAGTGTCATTGGAGAGGTGGCACTGTCACCCTCCAATCCACTGTCACCTTTGAAAATCTATAAATGTTGGAGTCAGAAATTAAACACCCTTCTTTTTACCCTGGAGATTCCAGTGTGCACATAGTTTTATTTCGTGTCCTATAGCAACACTAGCAGGGACAGTCTGAATTCAGCAAAGCTTAGGGGTCTGTTCAGGATGGGGCACACAGCCCTGAGTGGTATCAAGAAGCTCAAGTGGGAGCCTGGAGTGCTGTGTTGTCAGCAAGCACAGGGCAGAGGCAGACATGAACTTCTTGCAGACATGGTCAGCAGAGGGGGAGCGGTGTCCTGCCAGCAGAGTCACACTGGATCACCAGGATGCTTGCTGCCTGAAGCATGCAGAGGCCAGGAGGGGGTAAATGAGTTTGTTTTCATTTGTTTCTGGACCCCATCCCAAATTTTTTCTAACCCAGTTCCCTAAGTTGCTGTCATCTTTCTCTCTTCACTAGCATGGAGATCCCATCTCTCTGAGGGAGCCAAACGAAGCCCCAGGGCTGGACACCAGACATGTTTCTCTTCCCAACACTTCCCTTGATAAATGGATGCTGGGAACAGTGTAAGAGAAAAGGATTCAACCTCTCTTGTTTTGCATTATCACTAAAAATTAAACTAATAGTATTGACAGTCAAGCTAGAGCCCCTCTGTAGTAAACAATGTTAACTTTTTATAAATGGAAGAAACCAAAGTTCTCACTGCAGGTAATGGAAACAGTTGGGGACAGGGCTCTGGGTTTCCCTGGTATGTTTTGAGACACAGGGTCTGTGGTTTTCTTTATTCTTTTCCCACTCTAACTTCCAGAAAATATACTTAAAGCATCCCTTCAAGTTAAGGAGTGCCCAAGTCAGGAGAGCAGGCAGGGGAGACAGCTGACTCAGGCTGGGTGCTAGGCATTACAGACTAAGAGAGGAGCTCTGCAGGATTTTTAGGTGATCTCCTGTCTGACAGAGAACACCAGTGCAAGTGGTGAGGTGCATTCCCAAATTCATTCACATTCTTTGCATAGTCCTCTTGAGGAGGGACGGGCGGTGGCTCCTGGCACCTTGCACACACGTTCCTATGCAGGAAGGCCGAATGCTCCACAGCCAGCAGCAGCACCATGCAGAAACCATCCAAAGGCTGGGGGATGGATGCCCTGAGGGAAGTGAACTGCAGCATGCAGGTCCTGCTGAGCAGAGCTATGGCTCCAGTGTCACGCTGCTGCCGGTGACGCGCGCGCCGTACCAGCCCTGCCAGAAGAGTGTGTCCTGCCCGCCGTGCTCAAAGCGCACAAAGCGCACCCCGGGCCCGTAGCTGGAGAAGGTGTGAGAGATCTGTGGGACAAGAGACAAAGCAGTTGTTAGTAAGTGTCAGACCACCACAAACAGACCATTGCTCAGTGCACAGAGCCCTCAGCCCCGCTGGGCACAGTCAGACCTGCCAGGCTGGGGGAATTTACAGTGGGAGAAGCTTTGATCCCATTGTTCCGAGGGCACTGAATCACTCCAGGTTGGACATTGTGTGCCCAGTTGTGGCCCCTCAGTTTGGGAAGGACATTGAGATGCTTGAGCACATCCAGAGGAGGCAACGAGGCTGGAGAGGGGCTGGGAACACAAACCCTGTGAGGAACCACTGAGGGAGCTGGGGGTGCTCAGCCTGGAGAAAAGGAGACTCAGGGCTGCCCTCATCACTCACTGCAGCTCCTGAAAGGTGCCTGTGCTCAGCTGGGGCTGGGCTCTTTCTCCAGACAGAGACAGAACCAGAGCACACAGCCTCAAGCTGCTTCAAGGGAAATATAGGTTGGATATTAGGAAAAAGTTTTTCGCAGAAAGGGTGATAAAGTTCTGGAATGTTCTGCCCGGGGAGGTGGTGGAGTAACCATCCCTGGGTGTGTTTAACAAAGCCTGGATGTGGCACTGGGTGCCAGGGTTTAGTTGAGGTGTCAGGGAACAGGTTGGACTCAATGATCCTGAAGGTCTCTTCCAACCTGGTGATTCTGTGACAACTCCTGCACCTTATACCTGCTAGTGGTGCCTCAGCAAGGTTCCTGTAAAGCAGCCTCCCTTTTCCTTTTCCAATCATAGGATCATGGCTCCAGAGAACACAGGACAGAGCCTCCTCCTCCCCCTGGAGGATTCTACTGCTTCAAAAATATTCCTGATTCATGTAGGTCGGGTGTCACCTGCTGAGCCCATACCTGTAACTCACCTCAGTCCAGCTGCCATCATTTCCCTGTGGGATGGTGACAGTGTCACTTTTGTACTCAGCCAGCACATCCTCATTCTCAGAGAGCAGCTTCACACACAGCTCATAGAGACAACCAGCATCACCACGTCCTGCATACCTACAAGGAGAGCCCAGGTGTTGGCATTACCTGTAAGAGCTCTGCAGAGGCTCCACCAAGCTCACCAAGTTACTGCAGCCTTGCTTGGAGATGGAAACCTGCAATGGTTCTTAGCCCAGCCCACCACCTCCCCTCACTGACCACAGGAACCTGGGCTTTGGAGTTCATGGGCTCCAAAAGCCTGTGGGCCCTGTCCCACATCCAGGATCCTGGCAGCCGAGGTTTTAAGGCCCAAAATATATATATATATATAATCTTTATATTATATATATATATATATAAATAAATTTATATACATAATTTTAATATCTATATATAAATTTTATATATAATTTATATATGGTATATATATTGATATATTTTATATATTTATGTGTATTTATATTCTTATATCTATTTTATATATAGTTTTATATATTTTTATATACAGTTTTATATATATTGTATCTATTTATATATAAAATATTTATTTTTATATTTCTAATATATTTTATCTATTTTTTATATTTATAGATTTATATATATATATATATATATATATATATATATATAAGGTCTATGCCCTCCTTCTCTTCCTTATCTTTCTTAACCCTCTGCCTGTCCTCAAAGCCTTCCTTAATACTTACCAGTCTCTTACCATGATTTTAGGCTGGGTTGTATCCATCAGCTCCTCCCAGTAGCCCTCAGCCCTAAGGTCAATGACCTGAGCCTTTCGACACCACCTGAAACACAAGAGGCTAATTGGGGTCACAGTCCCTCCTGAGAGGACCAAAAATGCCCCCTTTCCTGAGGAAGAGAAGAAAGCAGCCTTACTCATAAGATGTGACAAAGTATTTCTGGACTTCTTCACTAGGAAATTCTTTTCCAAAGTCCCCTGGGAGCTCTTCAATTTTCCAGCCATCACCTCCATTCTCTACCTCTCCCCAGTGCTCCAAGCCTTCTGCAAATGGCAGAAAAGAGACTTGGATGAGTCCTGTGGACGTGGGGAACTTGACCATCTCCCACTGGAACATTCCTCTGGCTTGGGAAAGTTTGATATTAGACACAGCACTGATTTTATATGTGGACTATGGATATGTTTGTTAAGTAGAGGTCAGGCAAAAACCTTTAGCCTGACTGAGCCCAATCACACCAAACTTTAATATTCCCCAGCAAAGTGGCTGTGTATGTGTGGGTCTAAGAAAGTACTCCAGGGAAAGAATTTAGGTATTCTGAAGTGTCACCCTTTTCAGTGTCACAGCACACAAACACTCTGGGGACAGATACTGATTGCTTTGTTTCTAAGTATTCTAAAGCACTAAGTGGTATTTTCTGAAGCAGAAGACCTTAAACATCAGGGTTTTCAAAAGGCAAACCTGGATGCTGGAAAAGCTTGCAGAAAGTCACTTGTAAACAAAATGGGGAAGCTGTGTTGATGCTGCTTTGGTCTATGATGGGTGAAATTGTTGCTGCTTGGGTTGTGAGGCTTGGTTACTGCTGCTTATTGGTAAGCAGCTTATAGCTCTGGCAAGGAAGGTCACAGATTCAGAATGATGGCACATGGGGTGTGTGCCCAGTCTCTAACATGGGCTGAGGTGAGGAGAGTAAGAACAGGATTGGCCTGAGCTGCTCCAAGGAGAGAAGCCTGAAGGGTTTGGTGAGCTGAGGGCAGACTCACCCCTGAGCTGGGAAAGGCTTCATCTCTCCTGTCATGGCTTGGCAAGAAGCAATACAGAAACAAATGCCACAGCCATTACTGTGTTGGATGGTTTCTACAAAGGACATCTTTGTGCCTCAAACACGATTTAGATCCTTGCAGAGGTTAGATAAAGTGAATGCTATGTAAAGCCCTTTGCAAAGGCTGATTATCAAGGGCCTTTGTGCTCATTAAATGATTTGGCTGCACGGATTGAGTGACTTGACTCTTGGGCAGGGAGAAAATTCTGCAACCTGACAGCAACCAAGATGTATTTTCAAAGACCAGACATACACAATTCTCAGTGACTGGGCACCTTGGAGCTTGTTGTGGTGTCTCTCACCTTCACCACATGGGTTCTTGATGAGATTCCTCCTTTTCTTACTCAGGAAGTAGAAGCTTTGCCAGTCCTCCACATCTGACTCTGCTCTGCTGAGGCCTTCCTGCTGACACTTCAGGATCCAGAGTGCAGCTCCATCAACCAGGTTCCTCCACTGGCAGCAGACCAGGCGGCACACCAGCACCAGCTCCACCGCAGGAACGGAGGCCAGGATCCGGAGCAGGACTGCTTCAGGGAGGGACTCCATGCCTGGGGCAGGGGGCACAGCTGTCTGAGAGACAAGCTGGAAAGCAATGGGGAGGGTTTCCCACCCTCAGCAATGCCAGACACTGATGCAGTAGAAAAAAAGGGAAAATGAATATGTTATCTGTCACGGACATATTTTATGAAAAAGCCTTTCCTTAGGATTTTGCTCCTGAGAAGCCTCGGAGGAAAAGAAAAACAATAATTATCTGCTGCTGGGGAATGCAACAGGTGCATCTTTGATTGGTCCATGTTGGTTGTTTCTAATTAATGGCCAATCACAGTCAGCTGGCTCAGACTCTCTGAGAGTCACCAGCTTTTGTTATTCATTCTTTTCTATTCCTTGCTAGCCTTCTGATGAAATCCTTTCTTCTATTCTTTAATATATCATTTTCTTTTAATATAATATATATCATAAAATAATAAATCAACCTTCTGAAACATGGAGTCAAGATTCTCATCTCTTCCCTCATCCTGGGACCCCTGTGAACACCACCACAGTTATCTGAAGGTAGGATTTTTGATTCCTAGCCTCAAGGTCTCCTGTTCCTCATTACATTAATAGCCTGAAGCAGATTACTATTTTTATATTCTAAGTAAAAGCCCTGAATTAAATCTGCCCACAAAATGTGTGTATTTGACCACTGAGTTTGTTCGTTTTCCAGGCTGGAATCAGTCCTTCCAGAATCTCTGCTGCTGCAAAAATCAGCTTCCTAGTAATGATTTCCTCTGCAGAGGAAGGCACATGGGTGCCTTGTTCTGCCTTTAAGAACATCCCTGGTAACAAATGCTGCAAAGCAGCACTCAAATATCAGTGTTAAGCTTCTTGCCAGCCACCTTTGCAGTGGTTCATTCTATATCTGACAGCCTTTCCCTCAGAGTGCTGGCACTTCATCAGGAGCCTGTATAAAGTAAAGGTCTGAGCATAACTGAAAATAACTCAGCTGATATTCTCTAATATTCTAATGTCTGTAGCCTCATAACTGGAGAAATTAAGTCAGAAGTGTTTGCTCCAACTTCACGTGCTAATTCTGAACTCCAAGCAGCTCTCTGCTGCCCTGAGGCCCAGGTGCAGGTCCTGCAGGACTGTGGAAAGATGAGTGTGCAGATTCAGAGCCTGTGGCATCTGTGAGGGATGCTCTGTGCCACTGCTTTGATGTCAGCTGAGTCCTGGTGCTGGGAAGCTGCTGAGGTTGCAGCAAACTGCATGGATGCAGCCAAACTCCTCAGGAATGACTCAGTGAGCCTGGGAGAGCACTAAGAACAGAGCTGAAATACCCTGGCATGCAACTAAACAAAATACAGCAATGCCAAACCTGGCAAGGAAGGGAAGAAACTGGGAGTCACTGCTGTAGCAGCATCCTAAATCTAAACGTTCAGATGTGTCTGTCTGCACTGCACCCAGCAGGGGCAAGCTGTAATTTACAACTCCCAGACAGAATTAGTGATTTCTTATTCTCCCCACACTTCCAACCCTCAACCACAGTCCCGAAGGCCAAAACATAATTTTTTAAAAGCAGGCGGGAGGGATCATGCTGGTTTCATCTCGTACAGGAATTTCAGAAGCCTCTCCTGCTCCCTGCATGCTGATAGAGCACTGTTAGCCAGGCTTCCTCACGCACTCGGGAGAGGGACGGAGGCGCCTTTCCTCTTTCCTTTCCTTTCCTTTTTCCTTTCCTTTCCTTTTTCCTTTCCTTTCCTTTTTCCTTGCCTTTCCCACCCCAGCTAAGCACCCAAACCGACCAGGCTTTACATCACGGACACGCTCCGGGCAGCGCGCATCCCTTGACGCATTCGGGGCACTGCGTGTCCCTCCTCTTTCCCCAGGAGACACCCCGGGAAACCCGCGGAGGCTCGGGGGGGGCACCGAGCGCTCTTACCTGAGCCGCAGGGGCCGCTCCGAGCTGGGCTGCACTGAGAGCGGCACACGGGGCTGGGGCGCCTGTCAGAGAGAACCGAGATCTGTCAGAGAGAGCCGGGACCCGCCCCGCGGCCCCGCCTGCTCTGCCCAAACACGGTTCTGGGCGGTCCGGGCTCTGGTCAGAGAGAACCGGGACCCGCCCCGCGGCCCCGCCCTGTTCCGCCCAAACGCGGCCCCGAGGCCCCGCCCCAGGCCGGCGGCCCCGCCCTGAGGCCCCGCCCCAAAGAACCCCGCCCTAAAGCGGCCCCGCCCCAAAGGGGCTCCGCCCCAAGGCAGCCCCGCCCCGTTCCGCCCCAGCTCGGCCCCGCCCCGCGGCCCCTCACATCCGCGTCCGGAGGCGCAGATGGGCGGAGCCAGGTGGGGCCGAGTACCGGGGGTTGCGGCGGGAGCGGGCCTGGGGCCGGCCGGGCGGGCTCTCCGCGGTTCTGTTAGTCACGAGAGGAAACTGCCTTCTCTTCCGGCAGCTCGGCCCGTCGTGCCGCGGATCTCCCCTCGCCCTCCCGCGGGCCGCGGCCTGCCATGACCAGCATCGGGGATCTCCCCGAGGACGTGCTGGTGGAGCTGCTGTCGCTGCTGCCCGCCCGGGAGCTGCTCCGCACCTGCCGGCTGGTGTGCTCGCAGTGGCGCTACGTGGTGGACCTGAACACCCTGTGGAAGCGCAAGTGCCAGCGCGACGGGTTTTATCGTCAGAGCTACGACAGGAGCATCTCTGACTGGAAGATCTTCTATATGCTCTGCCACATGAAGAAAAACTTACTCAAAAACCCTCGTGCTGAAGGTTGGTTTCGTTATTTATAATAAAGGACTAAGAGTTTCCGAGCAGTCTGAATGAGTCATGCCTCAACTACTGCTTGTGCTGTGGGACTGTCCAGCTATTGCGTGTAGCTCTGCTACGTCAGATTTATAGCTCAGTTCCTGCAATACTTTGTGGTTTTAGCCAGAAAAATCTGGAGTCATAAGGCCCCAGTACAGCAGGCAGTGACAATTAATTTGCACTGCAAGTACAATGTGGTAGTGAAACGATCAGGGATTGGGATTAAACATTTGGGCAGCTGGAGAACTTTTGTTACCAAAGACTTGACTAATATAACTCCAATAATCCTACTTTATTGCTGCTGCTGATTTTCTGATGAGATCAGAAATCTGCTACCTGCTGTCCTAGATGCTGACAGCCACAAAAAGGTAATGGCAGCATAATGACAGGAGTCACTTACAGCTGTAGGAAAAATACAGTGCATCTGAAAACATCAGGTAGCTTCCTAGCATTCTCCTACTGCTGATTCTAACAAAAGCTGAGATCCTGCTGGTAGCTGAAATGAGGTGCTAACCCTCACATTGGACACCTGTGTTTTTAGAGAACTTCCAGCACTGGACACTTGATGCCAATGAAGGAGATAAGTGGAAAATTGAGGATCTGCCTGGAGCTCATGGAAGTCATATGTCAGACCCCAGAGTACACAAATACTTTGTCACTTCATATGGGTAAGGACTGGATTCCAATAATCTGGAACTGGGAAACCTGCTTCCTCCCACCTGTCTGAAAAGGCACCATGGTTAGAAGGCTGGTGGCAGGTCCTGAACCTTAGATCACCTGGGGGAAAAGGAAGGGGCTTCATGAACCTTTTATGCCAGTTAACCTAAAGAGATGGGTACTGCTGAGAGAATTGATCACAACAGGTGCTAAATTTCTCTGCCTACCAGGAACTTCCTGTAATTTTTATAGTTAGGATAATCCACATGGGATCCCTGCTTCTCCTCTCCCAAAGGTGGTAGAGAAAGGTTGATTGAGAAACTCAGTCAGCTGTACTTACATGACAAGGTGAAAGCTCTGTAACCTTCAGGAGTGGTGGGTGTGTCACACAAACAACTTGTAAAAAAAGCTGTCACCAAAGGAGGATCAACAGCTTTTACAAGCACTAGGCACTGGTTTCCTGTTACTAATACATCAATACAGAGACCCCTCTTAATCCAGTTTGTAGGTAACTATTCTTTTTATCTTGGGGTGAAGCTAATTCCGTTCATTTTCTTGTCAGGTTCTGGCTATGGCTAAGGCAGGGTTTAGCCAGGTCAGCTTTGTGGGCCTTCAGGAGCTGGGTGGGTATTAAAGCTGTCAGGGAAAGGACAGCAAGAGAGAAGTGTTCTGTAGAACTGTGAGTATTCCCATGTCTGTTTCAGGCCATGCTTCAAGTCTCAACTCATTACCCTGGATAAAGAAGGCTATTGGAATCAGCTGATGGATGAGATACGGCCTGAAATTACAGTCAAGGACTGGTGAGTGGAAGCACTGAAAATTAGAATTTCTAGTATTGGTCTGGAGGTAAGCTAGGCTTCTGAGCTTTTCATGCCATAAAATCAGTTCTTTATTCTTTGGGCATTATTGAGTGAAGAAGAAGCTGAATCTAAACTTACTCAATGGACTACACGGTGGCAATCCTGTGAAGGGTGGGATAGCTGTAAGTTCCACGACTTCTCTATAGCTATGGGGATGACACTCCTTTACTCCTTTTCCTCTGCAGACAGGGATCCCCTTGGAGACTACTTTTGAAAAATAAAGACCACTGAATGCTGTGTATACAGCCCTGCTCCTTGATTCCTCCTGCCTCTCCAGGTACGCTGCCAGGTTTGACTGCGGGTGCCGCTACGAGCTCACCGTGAGGCTGCTCTCCAGAGACTGGATCTGCCTGGAGGAATTCCATCCTGAGCCAGTGGTCATTGAGCAGTGGAGTGATGCCAAGTGGAGAGAGGTGAGCAGCAGCCAGGGAGGCAGGAGCTTTACAGCAGTGTTGTGACACTGGTGTGTTGCAAGTCTTACTTGGCCAAAAGTGCCAGGGGACTTTCTCTGCTCTTCAGCCTCCTCTGCTCTATAGAGAAAGTGAGCCAGTCCTTGCTGTTGATGATGCTGAAGAAGCAGTAGTGTCCTGAATGAGACAGATACTATTTTTAGGTGCCCAGAATTTTCTGTAGAGTATCCTGTGGGGCTTCTGTGATTTTTAATGCTGTCTTTTTAATTGTTTCTTGGTTTTATGTAAGATTCTGTCTAAATAATTAAATAACGAGCAGATTTCAGGGCTTTTTTTCATCAAAAAAACTGTTTTAAAACTACTGCATGGATAGCCAAGTATTGCAGACTTAACTTTTCTTAAACTGTTACAGGTGTTTAACTGGTTTGATTTGCATTCTGCAAATTAGATGTTTGCAGACTTATCTTTTCTTAAACTGTTACAGGTGTTTACCTGGTTTGATTTGCTGTACATTCTGCATTAGATGTTACTTATGCATGCACTTAAAATCAAGCTTAATGTTAGCTTAACACAGATAGGGTTTTGGGGAGAAGGCTGAGTGAGAAAGGCTTCTTTCCTCCCCCTGCCACCCCTTCCTCCCCCAAAAAACAGGGTATTGGTGCACTTTCAATGAAAGCTATTTAGGCTCAGGAAGAGCACATTCTAAGACTCACACACTGTAGTTTTCTGAGCTTCTAGGTGAACACTGATTTATTTAGGAGGAATGATTAAAATTAAGAGGAATTCTCTTTTCTGTGCAGATTTCTCACACCTTCCAGAATTACCCAGCAGGAGTTCGTTACATCTGGTTCCAGCACGGAGGCCAGGACACGCAGTACTGGGCAGGCTGGTACGGGGTCCGTGTGACAAACAGCAGCATCACCATTGGGCCCCCAAGCTCACTGTGAGGCACTGTGCAAGGCTTTGCTTTTACCTCAGGACTGGAACCAAGTGGCCTCAGGTGCACTGTTTGCCTGTTCTGTCTGGGTGTGTGCTAGCTTTGTCTTGCAGCTCTTTTTCACAGTAGAATTTCGGCAGGCCCAGCCCTTTAAAGGGTGTTCTGTCTTCATCTTCCATTCTCTTCTATCATGGATGCTACTGCAGTTACTGCTGCCCTTCCAGAGAAAAACTGGGACAATTAAACATGAGATCTATCTTTTCTAGTTAATACATTATTATGCTAACACACACAGTCTTAAAGACACTTTCATGTTTATGGAACATAGGAAAGATAAGGCTAAAATGCTTAATTTCAGATTATAAATGGTATCTACAAGGACTCTGCCACAGCTTGTCTTGTATGGTATTTTCTTTCCTGTTTCAGTGTTAAGATGATCTGCATCAGACCTTTCATAGCATCAGGAAACTGTTACTCCTTGTTCCTAAGTGCTGTGTCACTGGTAGTGAATTCCTTACCCTTTCTCTAAGTGTGTATGATCAAAATGATCCAAAACAGTCCCTTGGTGTTTGAATAAACAGGTAGAGACAGAGGAGGTAAGAAGTCCCTTCAAGCAGCTGCCTAACAACACAAGTGCCTTTTGATTGTGCTGGGCTTTTCTCACATCACTTTTGGTTTATACTGAGCAGTGTAACCCAATATAAAATGTTAAAGCAGTGCCCAGAGTTGATCTATAATGTTCCTACACTTGTTACTTGGAGGAAGCAGGAGGTGCTGGACAGGCCAGTGTACCAAATTCTCAGACAAACAAGCTCAGCTTGTTTGAACTGTGTCTCCCACCCTTATATACCCAGAACTAATGTTAAGGCCATGTTCCATCTCCTCTGACAGGTGTAGGATTATTAGTGCTTTCCTTGCTTATTCTCAGTTAGGAATAGGATACTTGGCAGGTGTCCTTGCTGGACAGACAAATTCCACATTGCTAATGCCACCTCTGAGTGAAAGGGGAGAGACCAAGGTTGTACAGCCTTTCACAGGAACTGACAGAGTCCACATACAGGCCAGAAAAGAAAATAAAAATACTTCTTTGCTGAAGAAGGCAGCCTGGTTTTGACAGAACTCAGCCCAGTTCAACTGGGGTAAAACTTGGTATTTATTGAAGACTGCTTGGGATGGTCACAGTGGACAGACACTACATAAGGCCTCACTCCCCCTTAGCACAAGTGTTGCTCTCGTGGATTGTGTGACAGCTCCTGGCTGTCTGTCACTGCCTGTGTGCAATGGAGCTGCCCTTTCCAGGTGAGAACTGGACTGGTAATAAAGCACTGACTCCCCAGGGATGCACTGTATCAACACCTGTGCTCTCACACAAGTCAAGATGGGAACAGGCTCTGGCTCCCCATTCCAAGTCAGTTCTTTTATACAGTGGTAAGAGCACTTGAAATAAAGAGGCAGCAGCTGCTCTACATTCACCCAGAAGGCCAGCTGAAGAGATGGTTATCAAGATACAGTTTGTGACAGATCTTACTCCACTGGAAGATCAGATGAAGCTTGAAGGCAAGGAAGATTTGAAATCAGGTGCCTTTGTGAGCTCGCTCTTCTACGTAGAGCTGCATCTGGAGAGAGAAACAAGCAACAGTCCTGTTGGTATACAGGTAGGTGAATGGAAAAAAAAAAGCCTGCAACAGCTGAATAGGAAGTGCTTACACCTTCCCCCATAACCAGGTTCCCTATTTTACTATGAGGAGTCTTGCCCTGCTTTGATTACTGGCACAGACATCTGCAGGACTAACCCACAGCTCAGCAGCATGTTTTAAAGCTGTTACACCACAGAAAACTGCAGAGCTGATGTCAGAGCATTGACAGTTCAGAACCACAGCAGGTTCAGCACCTCTTGGTCAGGATGCCCTGCTCACCTTTAGGATGTCAGATGTCATGGTTTTCAGGGGAATGAGCCGGGGGTCGTGCATGTGCACGTCTTGCTCATCAGCGAGGATCCAAGGGAAATCCTGGGGGCAGGAACACAAGGAGGTGTTACTGGCAGAACCCAGCAGTGCTGTGAAGTGAGCTCCTCCTCAGCACTTGTTTGGTGTAAAGTTGAGAGAGAGACAGAGTGGCTGAGGGAAGGAACAGGTAGTTCAAACCTTCCCCAACAACAAAAGTTAACGCTTGTCCCTGACGCTCAGCATAACTGTCTTCAGTTACAGCATCCAACTGAGAGGTGAACCCACTGCACTCACTGCAAAGGTGACATCTCACTTCTTTAAAAGATGCACTCTCTGCTGTCCTGAGCTACCATGCCCAGTTCATTACACCAAGATTTAACTGCAACTCCAGAATGCTTAAGGCATGGTTTCCATCCTGGCCTGGAAGAATAAAGGTGGGTCTGCTACACCACAAGTTTCCATTACTAAGCAGTGCAGAACAGACTTTGATTTTGAAACAATTTTATACTTTGCTAGCTTTACTTCTTGTGCCTTAGGACACCTAAAATAACTTGACTCAGGAAAAAAGTTTCCCTGTATCTAAGCAAGAATTCTTTAAAAATAATCTTCCTTTAGAAAGTGTTCTGCACACAGTTTCCTGTAAGATGCAATGTATTTGTGCCCCCAAACCTACTCATTACTTTAATCTTAGTCTTTCTTGCTTTTTATACAAAAGTGGATGGTGGGTAAGGGCTGCTTTTTTGCTCGATTAAATTCAAGGACCTATTCTACAATACATCTGAGTATTTCTAAATGCCTGAGCAAGCACTGGACAGGAAGTATTGTTACAATCTATTTCAAGACTTGAAGTTGTGTTGTTACAATCTATTTCAAGACTTGAAGTTGTGTTGTTACAATCTATTTCAATTGAAGTTGTGTTGTTACAATCTATTTCAAGACTTGAAGTTGTGTTGTTACAATCTATTTCAAGACTTGAAGTTGTGTTGTTACAATCTATTTCAAGACTTGAAGTTGTGTTGTTACAATCTATTTCAAGACTTGAAGTTGTGTTGTTACAATCTATTTCAAGACTTGAAGTTGTGTTGTTACAATCTATTTCAATTGAAGTTGTGTTGTTACAATCTATTTCAATTGAAGTTGTGTTGTTACAATCTATTTCAATTGAAGTTGTCTGCAGTGGTGGCCGTGTGTGGCAAATGTGCTGTCAGCTCACCAGCATTTACCATTTCACCACATTTCAAGTACAGTTATGATGTTTCTCATGTGACACCAATCTCCATGTTCAAAATATCTCTCAGCCTTAACCTTAAAGATGCTCTGCAGCTTCTCACACACAGTCAAGTGCCCAAGGATCTCACTCACCTTTATCACCTGGATCTTTTCCATGTTGCGTGTGGCAGCCTCCCGTGTGTGAACCAGAACTGTGAAGGTGCAACCTAAGAGAAGTGTCAGGTTCCAGCTCAGGGCACAGCTCCCAGAGGATCAGCCAAGCCAAGCAAGGCCAGGCATGAGGCTGTTTGGATCCAGGTGACATTTACCTGGGGGGTTGTTGTCCAGCACAGCATCACACACGCTGATTTTCAGGATGAAGGCACGCAGTAACTGCTCCACGTGGGACAGCAGGGACTCAGAACTGTGGAGGAGACAGCACTTGTTACTGGCATGCAGCAAAGGCCTGAAGTTGCTCCCAAAATGTCTCCCAGGGCTGGGTGTTGGATGCCAGGGGCAAACAGGAGTGGAAACCTCACCTAATGGAAAGAAGAGGTGGCTGGGTGATCTCAAAGACAAATCTCTCCACGGGGTGGTGCTCTTTGTCCAGAATTACAACCACAACTTTCTCCACATCGTTCTGCAGGAACCAAGACAGAAAAATCCCTTCATATGAGCTGCCCACAGTGTGCTTCACATTCTTTGATGCAGTGGAGTACACTCAGTTGTTGGGGCTCACAGCACAAGCCCTTATCCAAAACCTGACTTCAGATTATTCTTAGCAATCCGAAAAAAAATGTTTTTGCAAAGCCATTTCTTGCTGGGAGTTAAGCTGCCAGCTTGTGGCTGAGGGTGAAGGAGATGAAGTGTGCTAAACTGTATGTTCCTCCAGATCCTGTTTTGGAACAAAGGAGGAAAGGCACAGCCATCTCCCTGCATCACTCTGGGGTGGACACTGATGAAGTTAAGATCCATTCAGAGCCTTGTCCAAACAGAGCAGCTTTGTACAACCCCAATTTAGAACAGACCTAATTCCATTTTCTACATGTGCATTAAAATTGTCTGTAAAGAGCAAGGCATACAAAACCTGCCAGCAGCCTCCTGAAATGTTTCATTGGTCACACTCTTCTCTCAAAAAACCTGGAGTCCAGGCCTACCTTTGCTTCCTGGTTCTCAGCAAAACATTCAAACTGTTCTGCCACAACAGGTGCTTAAACTCTGGTAGGATGATGTAACTGGAAATATACAGACATGTGTCCTTGTGTGTGCTATATGAGACAGGCAAGGCAGGGTCTTAACTGCCAGGAAAGGTTATGATGTTTTTAGTTTTGTTAGGAACTTTTATCAGCTAGTACATTGTGTATGGTAAATTTTTTAAACAAATGTTGCAGTTAAGATAATATTTATGTTCTCTTACTTTCTGTTAAATCCACTTGCAGTACTTGTACCAGATCCCCAGTCTGAGCTCACCTTCTCCAGCAGAGGCTTCACACAGTGCAGCGTGTCCTGGATGTACTGGTTCAGCTCTGGGTGGCAGGACATCTGCAGCAAACACAGGAAGAGTCAGAGCTGTGTTGGACATGAGCCAGGACAATGCTAAAAGGGAAGATTTAAACAGAAGCACCAGTGTTTACAAGACATTCAAGTCATGCTTCAAATAGTGCTGGGAAATGCTGAGTTGCCCACTCAAATCAGCAATTGTTCAGGGCAGGGTTAACCAGCTGAGGCAGATCACTGCACCCATGCAGTTGTTGTGGATCTGGAATGTACACCCAGAACAGCACATTGGGAATAGCATATTCCAACCATCCCTACTTCCTAGTAAACATCATTCCTGTTACCCCACTGCACAGAGCTGGGGCAGCCTTCTACTGCTGTTACCCATGACCTGCTTGTCCCATGAGCACTTTTTGTATCCTCTCTATGACAGGAACTAAGCTCTCCTCAAAAATAAGTCTGTACATTAAACAATCACTTTGCAGAGTGTAACTTTTTTCTGGTGAGTGTTGATTGATCCTTGCTATTTTGCTTGTCCACATGGCTGTCAGCTCCCAGGAAAATCTCCTACCTGGACAGGTACATTGTATTTTTTCCTCTTCTGAAAGATCCCAATAGGGTAAACTTCTCTGACATACAAGATGAGGTGAACAGCCACTTCCAGGAATTCTGAAAGAACATCTGCAACAACTGAAAAACAGAAGTAAAGGATGCTGGAATAGGGTGTGGGAAAGTAGAGAAATACCAGACACTTGGGGGACCTTTTTTTACAGGTTATTTTTTTTTCTGCATAAATTTCACCTGCCTCCTCTTAGCTGCAGAAAATTTAGGGACAGAGCAACCCTCCAACACTCCCCCAAGCTCAGTACCCAAGAGGAGTGTCACAGGGACCCCAGTTGTACACTTGGTACAACACATTACCTTGCCCAAAGTTAAGGTCCTGCCGTGTGAGAGTGGTCATCTTCCCCAGACCCTGGAAGTAAGCACAAAAGGAATGGTTATCCTCTGGCTCCTGTATTATTGGATATAATATATACATATTATATAGAATATATATACTAGATGAATATAATATTATTATATTCATCTAGTCACATCATGGAGCTGTACACCAGAAGACCCTGTGAGCCCACAGGGAGAGGTGTGAGAATATGCAACCCCCATAAACCCAGCAGGTCCTCAGGCATTACCAGCAGTGCACAAACCAGTGCCACACCTCAGGATGAGAGATTATTCATCATTTCATTCCTGGGGTTTTCAGTCTCTCTCCCTTTCTGGGATACAGCAAAGTTCCCATATACAAGTATACAAATACTTTTTAGTAACACAAGAAACACTGTTTTTTTAAAGCTTCATAGTACTTGCCTTTTCTAAGCCCTATCTCTTCCTATAACACAAGAACTTCTCGGGGTTTTGGGTTTATTCTATTATTTGGGTTTATTCTATTCAAGTATACAAATACTTTTTAGTAACACAAGAAACACTGTTTTTTTAAAGCTTCATAGTACTTGCCTTTTCTAAGCCCTGTCTCTTCCTATAACAACTTCTCGGGGTTTTGGATTTATTCTATTATTTGGGTTTATTCTATTTTATTATTTCACCTCCATGAACCATTGCTTGTCCAAGCTTGGAGCTGCATCTTCCACTGACAGACCATCACACAGGTTCTCATCTGCTGCCACTGCCAACACCTTCTGAGTTTCTCTCTGCAGCCCCAAGGAACCCAAACCCTGCAGAGCTGCATAATGAAGTCAACTTTATGACACAGTTTATGGAATTCCTCAGGTTGGAAGGCACCTGTAAGGATCATGGAGTTCAACTCCCTGCTCCTCACAGGACCACCAAAAACTAAACTATGTGACTTAGAGCATCATTCAGCTGCTCCTTGAACTCTGACAGGCTTGGGCTGAGACTACATCCCTGGGGAGCCTGAATTTGTGAGCAAGGAAGGGCAGCACATCATTGTGACAAACTGACTTTGATGTGCCAACAATCAAACAGCAGATGCTGGACTTCAGCTTCCCAACAGCTTTCCCTGCATTGCAGACTCCATGCCTTACACAATTCAGGTCACATTGTGTACATAATTATCTATTAGAAACTTTATTTTGTTTAATTATTTTACCTCTGCAAGCCAACAAATTGTAACCACTAACAGCAGCACCATTCATGAACTGTAGAGGTCTTTAAATGCCTCTAGAGCACTCTGGCTCCACCAGTAACTCAGTTGTTCTACAAAGACTTTTGACAAACCACAGATGTTCCAATGAGCTCTACAGACACTGATTTTCAAGCTGTTTCAGCTGCAACAAAACATGTTTTTCAGATCTATGAAGAATTAATTCAACCTGCACAAAACAGGGAGCTACTTTCACCTCCAGTTTTTAAAACAGAGTTATACCCCTATATACAAGGACTTGCTGGAATATTAGTGATCTGCTACACTTAATAAAATTAAGATAGTTAAACATTTTTCCAGCACCCCAGCCACAGTGGCTCTCAAATTAGTACAAAGATCTGCAGAGATCTAGTACAAAGATCTACAATAAACAATCTGGTTTTAGAGGTTTAGGTTCACGTCCTCACTTAAACTTCATTCCTTCTTAAAGAGAGGCCCAAGCAACCCAAGGGATCCACCCTTCCACGCAGTCACAAAGTAGAAACTTGGCACTACACGCTCCAGGACTGTGCAGGCTGGGAGATCAAAGGAATCACAGAACAGTTAGGGTTGGAAGGGACCTTAAGCTCATCTAATTACAACACCCTGTGTGAAAAATGTGTATTTTATGACTGGCTTTTCGCAAATATTAAGATGAATATTATATGTGGTATGTTAGAAAGTTATGTTAATTTCTTAAATATAGCGTTAGGTTATAGCATATCATTTCTTAAATATAGTGTTAAATATAGTTTTAGGGTATAACATAATGTTAAAATAGAAACTATGCTATCTAAGTTACTTTTTTCAAAGAAAGGAATGAGGCACTCGCAGCAAGGTAGCAGCCACAGGACACCTGAATCTTTCAGAGAAAGAGAATTTATTGCTCTCTTATCAGAAGAAACAAACTTCTTCCTGCCTTGCTCAGTCCTGAAGACACTGTCAGGATTCAGAGGAAGAAGCTGACACTGCCCAGACAGAATCCTGTGTTTGGATGGAATTTATGCATCATGTGTGAGGTGTATGAATATGCAACAGGCTGTTGCTTTTAAGGGTTAATCCTCTGTTAACGTGGGTCCTTTTTTGTGCTTATTTTGAAAAGTACCTGGATTGTCCATAACACTTTGTTCTTATTGTCTCGTATTGTCCTATATCCTAATTGTCCAAATTTTGATTACTCTAATTATATTACTATTTTTCTAACCATTTTATTCCTATTAAACTTTCAAAATTTTAAAACCAAGTCATTGGCGTTTTTCACACCCTGCCAGAGCCAGGGCCACCCCCTCCACTATCCCAGGCTAGTACCAACTCCATCCACCCTTGGACATTCCGGGTACGGGGCATATCATGTTATAACCCAGCGCCCTCCCCGTGCCTATCACGGCCGCTCTGCACCAGCCCGGAGCAGCCCGCACAGGCCGCTCCAGCAGCCCGGACGTGCCGTGCCCGCTCCGGGGCTCCCGTTACCGCCGCTCCCTCACCCGGGCTCCCGTTACCGGCGATCCCTCACCCGGGCTCCCCTCACCGCCGCTCCCTCACCCGGGCTCCCGTTACCGCCGCTCCCGTGCCCGGGCTCCCCTCACCGCCGCTCCCGTGCCCGGGCTCCCCTCACCGCCGCTCCCGTGCCCGGGGCTCCCCTCACCGCCGCTCCCGTGCCCGGGCTCCCCTCACCGCCGCTCCCTCACCCGGGCTCCCCTCACCGCCGCTCCCTCACCCGGGCTCCCCTCACCGCCGCTCCCTCACCCGGGCTCCCCTCACCGCCGCTCCCTCACCCACTCCTCGTCTCAACCACGCGAGCAGAAGGGAGAGCGGACGGGGACAGACCCCTCGAGCGCCCCGGTCGCACCCACCGCACGGCACCGCTTCTCCTCAGCCTGGGAACCGAGCCTGGCAACCGCCCGCCTGCCGGTGCTCCCTAGCGGAACGGCGCTCCTCGCACGGCTCCGCTGCCGCCCAGCGCCCCGCCTCAGCACGGCCACCTGCCCCCGTGTCCGCCCGGTGCTGCTCCCCGCCCCGCTGTGCCCCTCCCGGTGTTCCCTCTCGCCCCGGCGCTCCCCGCTCCGTACCGGGCCCGCCGCCCCTCACACGGCCCAGCGCGGGAAGCGGCGGCAGCGCCTGCGGATGACGCCATGGCGGGGGCGGCAGCGCCCCCCGGCGGGCGGGAGGAGCGGGCGCGGGCCGGTCCCGCTGCCCCGCGGGGTCCCGGCACGGCCGCGGCTCCCCCGGCACGGCGGGGCCAGGGCTCGGTGCAGAGAGCGGGGCACGCTCAGCCTCCAGCGGCTCTCCCTCCCCGGGACCTTAACGCGGGGGAAGCCCTCGGGAGAGCGGAGCCCGCCGCACCGCGCAGGTGAGCGGGGCTCACCCGCTCCCCGCCTCCCCGGGCTGCCACGCCTTTGTCTCCGGTCTTTGTCCCGTCCGTGCCCGGGGCAGGGAGCGCTGCTGCCACCTGCACCCTGCGCTCTCGCACCCAGCTCCTCCGCAGCACGCTGCCCTGGCATGGCCCCGCACTCCTCCTGTGACCCCCGCACGCCCAGAGCCCCTCCGCCCCTCCCAGCCCCACCTCCTCCGGCACCATGCACCCCAGTCCCGCGGGATTCCCCAAGTCCCCGATTCCTCTCCACATTCCCCCACTGCCTTCCCCCTGTCTCCTCCTCCTCTTCCTCCTCCTCCTCCTCTCCTTTCGGGTTTGAACACCCCCTGCCCCCCGCAGACCTGCCTCCCCTCCGCCGCTCGCACAGCTCTGCCCTGCCCTGCCCTGCCCGCCAGGCTCGCCGGACCGGCACCTTCGGACAGGTAAGCAGCGCTGCCCGCGCCGTGCTCACCGCCCCGGTGGATGCTCCGCCGAGCTGATTCCCCTCTGCTGTCGCGGGGACTGGGGAGGAGTGGGGAGCACCTTCCCACTTTCCGTGCGCCCCGGAGCAGACAAAGGCACGGACTGACGGGGGTGCCCGGTCCTGCCGCGGAGCTCCGGTTACGGCGGCATCGCTCCGCGGTGCGGGCGGGCAGGGAGCTCGGACAGCGCCGGTGCCGGGGCGCGGTGCCTTCGGCCGGACCTATTGTCAGCCGTGCTGGGGAGCGGGCTCAGGACTCTGCCGCACGGGTCGCCTCCGTGCCCGGTGCCACGCAGGGATACGCGGTTCGGGCTCTGGGACTCACGTCCCACCGCCCCGCTGTGGGTCACTCCTGCCAGATTCCTCCCCACACCGCTCTGGGAAGCAAAGTCGCCCCGGACAGAGGCACCGTCCCTCTCTTAGGGCTTGAGCCCCTCGCACACCCCAGGGGAACGTCCCGGCTCCGAGGCAGCGATGCCGAGGGGCGACGGGAGCTTTTC